GGGCCCCTCGGGCCCCAGGGACCGGGGTGGCCAGTGTCCCCTGTCCCCATGGCACCAGTGTCCCCAGTGTCCTCTGTCCCCAGTGTCCCCTGTCCCCATGGCACCAGTGTCCTCTGTCCTCAGTGTCCCCTGTCCCCATGGCACCAGTGTTCCCAGTGTCCTCTGTCCCCAGTGTCCCCTGTCCCCAGGTCACCAGTGTTCCCTGTCCCCAAGACACCAGTGTCCCCAGTGTCACCTGTCCCTGAGCCACCCATGTCCCCAGTGTCCCGTCCCCAGTGTCCCCATGTCCCCAAGCCACCAGTGTCCCCAGTCCCCAAGTCACCAGTGTCTCCAGTGTCCCCTGCCCCCAAGCCACCAATGTCACCTGTCCCCAAGTCACCAGTGTTCCCAGTCCCCAGTGTCCCCATGTCACCTGTGTCCCCAGTCCTCAAGCCACCAGTGTTCCCAAGCCACCTGTCCCCAGGTCCCCATGTCACCTGTGTCCCCAGTGTCCTGTCCCCAAGCCACCAATGTCACCTGTCCCCAAGCCACCAGTGTCTCCTGTCCCCAGGTCCCCATGTCACCTGTGTCACCAGTGTCCTGTCCCCAAGCCACCAGTGTCACCTGTCCCCAAGTCACCAGTGTCCCCTGTCCCTAAACCACCAGAAAATGTCACCTTGTCCCTGAGCCACCACACAATGTGTCCTGTCCCTGAGTCACCAGAAAAATGTCACCTTGTCCCTAAGCCACCCCACACACAATGTCACCTGTCCCTGAGCCACCAGAAAATGTCACCTGTCCCCAAGCTACCAGTGTCCTCAGTGTCTCCTGTCCCCAGTGTCCTCTGTCCCCAAGCCACCAGTGTCCCCTGTCTCCAAGCCACCAGTGTCCCCAGTCCCCAGGTCACCAGTGTCCCCAGGTCCCCAACCCCCCCACAATGTCCCCTGTCCCCAACCCACCAGGAAGTGTCACCAGGGCCTCCAGGAGAGGAAGGGAATGACAAACCTCCCCCCCATCCTCAGGGAATATTGACCTTTCCATGAGGAAACCCCCCCCCAGTGGGATGTTGGGAGAAGCTGGACTGGTTTTCCTGGCTGGAAACTGGAGAGGGGGAAATGGGAATGAAGGAGATTTCAGGGAAAGGAGGAATTTTGGGATCAGGGAAGTGAGGGAAGGAGGAATTCCCCCAAAATGGCTCCATGGATCCCCAAGTTTGGGAATCCTGCTCCTCCAGGAACTGGATTCACAGCTCCCAACAATATGGAAGGGGGAGAAAAGGGCAGGAAAACTTCCCATCTTTGGGCTCAATCCCAGCAGGAAAGGGACATGGGCAGGTCCTCTGCACCTGGGAGGAGGATCCAACCCTCCTGGTGCTGCCTGGAGCCCTTAATTAGCTGCAACTCATTAAGAGCAGGGGTTGAAGGACTCATTTGGAAGCTGCAAGGCTGGTTGGGTGGGTCTGCCTGGATCATGGGAATGATCCCTGGAAAACAAGGAGCTTCCAGCTCTTCCCAGGTTGCTCCAAAGGTTTGGTGGGAGCAGGAATCCAGGGGTGGGGGGAATCAATCCAGGGGGATCCCCCCCCCCCCCCCCAATGTTCCTTGGTATTCCCAGGGGGAATGAGGAGGGGGGAAACTTTTCCAGGCTGGATCATCTCTGTGGATGTCTCCAGATCCAGGAAAAATACATCATGGGATTGAGGGAAATGTGGGACAAATAAATCCTGGGATTGATCCAGATCCAGGAAAAAGGAGTCATGGGATTGAGGGAAATCTGGGAAAAAGAAATCATGGGATTCACATCCAGGGAAAACAAATCATGGGATTCATATCCAGGGAAAAGAAATCATGGGATTCATCTTTATCCAGGAAAAATAAATCCCGGGATTGAGGAATATCCAGGGGAAATGAATAATGGGATTGAGGAATATCTGGGAAAAAATTAAGTCATGGGATTGATCCAGAACCAGGAAAAAGAAGTCATGGGATTGAGGGAAATCTGGGATAAATAAATCATGGGATTCATATCCAGGAAAGATAAATCATGGGATTGATCCTTATCCAGGAAAAGTAAGTAATGGGATTGAGGAATATCCAGGAAAAATAAAGTGAAGGGATTGAGGGATATCCAGGGCAAATAAATCCTGGGATTGATCCTTATCCAGGAAAAAGGAGTCATGGGATTGAGGGAAATCTGGGAAAAAGAAATCATGGGATTCATCTTTATCCAGGAAAAATAAATCCTGGGATTGATCCATAACCAGGAAAAGGAAGTGATGGGATTGAGGAATATCCAGGGAAAATGAGCAATGGGACTGATCCATATTCAAGCTGCTCCCAAATTTGGGTGGAAGGAAGAAAATCCTGGATTTTTCCATCCACTGGATTTTTTTGAGGGGGTGGGACAGAATTCCAGGCTCAGGAGGAACTGGGGGAGCAAGATGATCCCAAATCCAGGAGTTGCTGGGAATTCCAGGAGCTGGGAGGAGGCAGCTCCTCCCTCCTGGGGTTTAATCCCATTTATCACCAGTTCAATCCCATTTATTCCCAGTTCAATCCCATTTCTTCCCACTGCTCAATCCCATTTCTAGGGAATCACACCTGGATTTGGTGCCTTTTTTTGGGGAATCAAACCTGGTTTTGGCCCCTTTTTATAGGGAATCAAACCTGGATTTGGTGCCTTTTTATAGGGAATCAAACCTGGATTTGGTGCGGAGGGGGGGGGGGGGGGGGGGAGGGGAGGGTTGTTCCTAATTAGCTCAGGGATTTAATTAAGCCTTAAAGAAGGTGCTTAAATAAACACTGGGTGGTTGGGGGGGGAAGTTGAGCTGATAATTAAGGCTTAATTACCCCCCCCCCCTTGTCACAGGGATAATGACACCCCAAAGTCACCTCAGATCCAAATGGGAAGGGGGGGGTGACCCACATTATTGGGGGGGGAAACCCCCCTATTATATGGGGGGACAGCCCCATTACTGGGGGGGGGCACCTCCATTATTGGGGGGACACCCCCCTATTATTTGGGGGGCACACCCCCGTTATTTGGGGATACCCCTCCCATTATTGGGGGGTGACCCCCCCTATTATTTGGGGACACCCCCCCATTATTGGGGGAGACACACCCTATTATTTGGGGACACCCTCCATTATTTGGAGACACCACCCCATTATTTGGGGGGGACACCCCCCTTTTTTGCAGCACCCCCAGAGAAGGGGAATTTTGCCCCCCCAAATCATGGCAGGGAGGGATCTTGTTGGGGGGAGGATTTTTGGGGGGGGGACTCTCTTGGGAAAGGATTGGGGGGGGAGGGTGCACCCCCAGACCTCAAGGAGGGCAGGGAGGACCCCCAGAGGAAAATTGGGGGGGGGGGGGGGGGG